GCGTTCATGCTTCTCGATGTTGACGAGTGGATAGTGGAAGAGGACGTCGTGGGGTCGTTGACCACTATCCTCTCGAAAGAGGGAGCGACGGCGCCCGCCAGTTTAGTGTCAGTCCGACTGCACGGGAGCGGCAAGGGACGCTTCGCGTGGTGCGAGGTGCCCATCAGGGCTTCGCAACCGTTGGTCGGGCTGACACAGCTCAGGGTAGGATGGGGCACGTGCCGGATCCGGGTCCTAAAGGACAAGGGACCGCGCTGCTACAGGTGCCTCGAAAGGGGCCACGTGCAAACGACCTGTAGCGATCCGGACCGGACCGGCGCGTGCTTCACGTGCAGAGGGGAAGGCCACCGGTCGAGGGACTGCCCCAAGAAGGTGGGGGGGCCGGAGAAGCCTTCATAAGCATCTCCTGTCCTCCTCACTCCGTTTCTGTTTTGTGAATTATTATTACGTAAGTCAACCCTCGCGAAGTCCTGCCCCCACCTCCACGTGGTGCAGCCCGGGCAACGGATCCCACCTTTTGGGATCCGGCTAATGGGGGAGGCCACACCACGTTGTGAATCAGCTCTTGATTAATTTCGGGCTGATTCACAACGTGGTGGTGTGAATTTTAGACGGCGTGGGCCGCCCTGAAGCAATACCTCGCGGTAGTTCCAGGGCGGTCCACATCATGCCGGATTGTGAAAAAAAAAAATAAATAAAAAAGGGTGCAGGAACGGGACGATCATCGGTCCGACGCTGTCGGCCAGCCGGTCGCTGCACCACCGCAGTAGTGGTAGCCGGGCGCTGTGGAGTGGAGGTAGCACCCTCTCCTGGTACATACCGCGGGACCATCGGCACAGTGGCGAAGACCCTCCGTGTCGGAGGGTAGCTACTCGTCCGTAAAAGGTTTTACTACGTGTTTCGTCGGAATGTTATCTATTATTTTGCCAGCATGCTGTTTGGAAGATGGCGGCTATAACCGGCTACCTTCAAAGATCAATGGCCAAAGGTTTAAGATAAAAGCCCATAGGCTAATAATCATAGGTCAAAAGATAAAAGGTCATACCTATGGGTCAAAGGTTAAAGGTCAGTTTAAAGGTCATAGGTCAAAAGCCATAAAGTTAAAGGTCAAAGGTCATAGGTTAAATGTCAAAGTCATAGGTTAAAGGTCATAGGTCAAAGGTTAAAGGTCAAAGGTCATAGGTCCAAAGGTTAAAGGTCATAGGTCAAAAGTCAAAAGGTCATAGGTCAAAGGTTAAAGGTCAAAGGTCATAGGTCAAAAGTCAAAAGGTCAAAGGTCATAAGTCAAAGGTCATAGGTTAAAGGTCAAAGGTTAAAGGTCATAGGTTAAAGGTCATAGGTTAAAGGTCTAAAGGTCAAAGGTCAAAAGTCAAAAGGTCAAAGGTCAAAATGTCAAAGGTCTAAAGGTCAAAAGTCAAAAGGTCAAAGGTCAAAATGTCAAAGGTATAAAGGTCAAAGGTCAAAGGTCAAAGGTCATAGGTTAAAGGTCTAAAAGTCATATGTCAAAAGGTTAAAGGTCATAGGTTAAAGGTCAAAGTTCATAGGTTAAAGGTCAAAAGGTGAATGGTCGGTCATAGGTTAGTGACCAAAAGTCAAAGGTCATAAGTCAAAGGTCATAGGTTAAAGGTCAAAGGTTAAAGGTCAAAGGTAAAGGTCATAGGTTAAAGGTCATAGGTTAAAGGTCATAGGTTAAAGGTCTAAAGGTCAAAGGTCAAAAGTCAAAAGGTCAAAGGTCATAAGTCAAAGGTCATAGGTTAAAGGTCAAAGGTTAAAGGTCATAGGTTAAAGGTCTAAAGGTCATAGGTCAAAAGTCAAAAGGTCAAAAGTCAAAAGTCAAAATGTCAAAGGTCATGGGTTAAAGGTCTAAAGGTCAAAGGTCAAAAGTCAAAAGGTCAAAGGTCATATGTCAAAAGGTTAAAGGTCATAGGTTAAAGTTCAAAGGTCAAAAGGTGAATGGTCGGTCATAGGTTAGTGACCAAAAGTCATAGGTCATGGACTCAAATTGGGACTCCAAAGAGTCTCGCTCCTGGGCCCACGCCTCGCACTGGATAAGGCAATCGAACATTTAGCGTCCTTTGCCACTCTCTCCTTCTTCATCTTCCTCTTTCTCCACTTTTTAGCGGCGGGAGCAAGCGGTAGCGCACCCGTTGCCACATATCCGCCTTGGAGGGAGGATGTTACGTCCCCGACGGCCTTAGATGGTGGGCTGTAAGTGTCCCACCAGTATTCCGTCTGGGACGCACAATCCTGGAGGCACACCAGGCTTTCCGACGTAGGTGAAGGCGATCTCACCCCAGGCAAACTATTTTGGTGAAGATTAGCCAAGGCCCTTACGGTTTCTATAAGGGCCATGGCCATCTTCACCACTAGCCTGTGAGGGCAATAGATATCTAGCACGTCAGAGAGCTTCCTCGCCTGATCCCTGTCGAGGTCTAGCCCTGCTGACAATACCTCGTCGGACCGACCAATCAATTTTTTTGGTGTCCCGTCGCAGGCGCAGGCGTCGTCGACATGGGCACGGCCGTGTTAGGCGGAGTATCCTCTTATGACGGAGGGAATTGTCCTCCCCACAACCATTCACCACACCAACCTTCTCCGTAGTCGAACCCGAAAAACCCACCCTTGCCTGACCACTCCTAGATGCGCTTTGCAATCTCTCCAATATAGAGGGTTTTGCTGACGTATATAGGGGGAAGGCCGTCGTTAAGTCCGTTTCAGAATCCAAGTAGTCCGTTGCCAATGGCCTCCCGGCTATTTCACTAGTAGGAGTGGCTTAGTTACCATCAATCCCTGCAGTCGCAGTACCAACCCCGTGGTTGGCTGCAGGAGACTACCTCAACATTCCTGCATTTGGCGTGTATTCGTTCGATAATGACACCTGGTGGGTACGCCCCCCCCCCCACAAACTGCCGGAACTGGGGCATCCGAATCCCCTGATGCAGTAACCTTTACTCTGTTCTGTGCCATTGTCATTTCGTAAATGATCTTTTTGTGAGGGGGTTGCCCTCATAGTCAGTCCCTCCGGCCAGTGAACGGCTAACTTCATTGGTTGCGTTGCCATAATTCTCCGTTCTCACCCAAACGCTACTGTTTATTCGTCCATATAGGCTTATTTCACGGCTAACCTGCATATCTGAAGGCCGTTCCTCTATCTGCAACCTGAGAACGCACCCGATTCTCCGAGCTAGGGAAGACATAGTATATATATTAGTTTACTAATATAAAATACTAGCAAGCCATTTATATTTGATATTCAAATGCACGTTCGTTCTACTGTTTCGATACGTTTTTCCAATATAAAAACACGATCTTTGATTGTTATGTAATCTCGACCGAGAGCGTCAAACGATTAGTTATTACAAACAAGTTATTTTTTAAATTGTCGATGTCATCCGCATCTTCGTATCCACTATCGCTATCGCTACTGTTTACAATTTGATATCTGCTGCTGTCAACAGTTTGTGTGAAATGCAGCAAAATCAAAAAGGTTGTTGGAGCCGTTATACAAAAATATAATCCGCGAAGTGTCCATCTGTTTAATATGCTCCCACAACATTTCGATGGTTGTGCTACCGCTGACACTGTCCATTTTGTTTGGTGTACGGTCACTTTTGATATCTTCAGGTCACTCGTAAATATTTCGTACGATTGACGTCCACCGCGGAAGGATACTACAATAATATTGCAGTCACAATTGTCACCTTTGTTATAGATATGTATTCAAAAATCAGATTTATTTTACTATACCTAACACATTAATTTCAAAATCAACAAACGACAGCTATTTGTAATGTACAAATAGTACGCATCAATAAAAAACGTATATTGTATTTCAAAGTTTCCAAAAAAAGAGTATATAGTAGTACACACACAACTCAGGATAAATGCTGTAAACAACAAACGACTTTGTAGTAATGCTGTGAGATATTGCGCCTACACGTTATCACGTGTTCGGTGGTTTTTTATCTAACACAACGAGTATCGTAATGTTTGGAAAGTGTAGTGAAACCACATAGAAGGGGTATTCATCATTTACGAAATATCGACTTAAACTTAAACGACAGCATCGGGGTGAATTGGCACGCCGGTATATAGGGTTGTGACATATCAAACGCGCGAACTCGACGCATACTATATACACGTTTAACCGTTTGCGTGTAAGTATTCTAGAAAATGAACTTTTTTTTTTTGATCGATTTGTCAGCTGTGGGATCCGACGATGGAGTTAAGGCGCGTTGCAGTACTATATAGGGTCGTACATTACAGCGTAATTGCCGACGGCACAATCACGACGTGATAGGGCAAGTCATAGGGCTCACCTTATCATAGCATAGAGTAAATGCTTGATGTCATAAGGCTGTAATGTTATTAGCAAACTGTAGTAGGTTCAGGTATGACGTCATAGAGCTTACCTTATAACAACGTTTAGGTGTGACGTCATAGGGCATACCTTTTATCAAAGTTTGGGTGTGACGTCAACAAAGGGCCCACCATAGAGCTTACCTTAGGTCAGGGTTCAAGTGTTACGTCATGAGCTGCACTTGGATGCTTCTGAATGCAGTCCCCAACAGGCGTCGAGGCAAAGGGAGTTACGGTAGATCATGTGTAACGTCACCATGACGGACTGCATCACACCTGTGCACCCATTGTTCCCCAAGAACAATTGATGACGTCATTGTCGGCACCTTTGAAGGCCCGTACCCGCTATACATATACTACTGTTATGGTAAAATAAATAAATTTTTTTTTACTATAAACATTTACAAAAATCAACTTTAAACGATTATAAAAATAGGTTAAATATGTCATTTTCCTTATTTTTAACATATTAATAATCAAAATCAGTATTAATTTAAAACAATTTTTTTTTTGTTCTTAATTATTTTTGAAATAATCTACCAATTTCTTAAAATGAAACACTATCTACAGATTTGCATCGAAGCGTTTCTTATGATAGTGATTTTAATCACTGTCAAATATCATCTATAGTTGTCCTAACTATGCTACGTCCTTACTGTGCCACTTTATCTGCTGAAAGTAATGGATTCAAATGGCGACTTCTACTAAGAAGTTAGATTTTTCAGCTTTTAAAAATGTTCCGGAAATACTCTGAGCACCAAGTATACGTTAAATTAAAACTAATGTTACATACTTAAAATTAAAAAAAATTATCTCGATAACTAATCATTTATGTTCAAAAGTCTGATGTATTTTTAAAAAATGCTACTTTTATGTAGTATGTTATAACTTATAACTATTGTTTTAAAAATGTATGAGTCAAAACATATTTTTTTTACCTTTTTGGTTTTTTTTTTTTTGGATATTTCTCTGTTTACCTGACAACATAGAAAGATTCAAAATGACAGCTTTTGCATTAAAAGTTAATATTTTCAATTTAACTTTTCTAAACATTCCGGATATACTGTGCCCTTATGTCAAATTAAAGCTTTTGTTGTGTACTATAAATTAAAAAAAATGTCCCGACACTTTATCTTCTATGTTCAAATGACTGATATAGTAGCAAAACATACTATTTTTGTTTGTATAAATATTTAACTAGCTTATAAAATAAGAAATCAACTTATTAAGTATAATCATGAGTTCCAGATTTTAGTACCAGAAATTCATGAGAGTCATTGACGAACAAGATTAATGTTAGGATTATAAATTATACATAAATATTATAATTTTTAATGTTTATGTCCACTTATAAAACGTTAGAAACCTAGATATATGATCGCATACATTTATTTTATAAATTTCTAGTGAAAATACCGATACATTTTAAATAATTGAAATGTAAACTCATACATATTATAATTTACACCATTTTATTAAATATATATCTTAATACCAAGGTTAATACTGTGTGGAAATTAAAAAATAAGGGCAAAGAAATGTTATTTGATTAATAAATAAATTTAGTCCTGTATATACCTATCATAACTCAAAATAATATAAAGGGACGAAGAATTGGGTAAAAGATGAGAGTTACTTTAGTTTGGGGTGTGATTCGAATGTCATAAAATAATATAAATATTAACTCTTATTGATCTTAAATCTTACTTAATAATTATTTTCTATTCTTAAAATAAGTTCAGTAACACTATTAATAATTTATATGCAAAGTAAGACAAGTTTAACTTTTACTTAACAAATTAACACGTAAGAATTTCAACAATTATCATAAATTTTACATGATGGAGTTGAGAGTGCGATTAGAACAGGTGAAACTGTGAGGGATTGCTCTGCCTTTTATATTATTTTTTTACCCCGAAAATCACCACTATCTCACTCTTCCAATGTTATTGTTTATTGATAAGTAATCATAAAATTTTAATTAACATATAAAATAGCATAATATATATAAATTTATACATTTTAATATAGTTTTTTTTTACATTTTAGATTAAGGTTAACACAGTGTGTTTTATTGTTAAGATAAGAGTAAAAAAAGCTGACACGGATATTTTTATAAATTTCTTCTGGGAAAATAATAATTTTTCAAGGGGACTAATAATTGACTCATGACTGAATCGTGTGTACAATAAATTAAACAACAATATGCGTTTGTTAAAGTTTTCTTTAAGATGTTTATTTAAATTATTTGTTTGATAAGAATCATGTTATTCTAATTATATGAATATAATTTATAAATAAAAGTGTTAATTTTCTTAAATGAAAGACCATTATTGTGGACACAAACAGACCAGCCCCCTATTATTTTATATTATGATAGTGACTATTATAATACGACATAAAGCACCATCGAATGTATTACATATAAATCATTTTCTTTCGACTTTTGTATTTATTTTACTTTATTTCTTTTTACATTATTTTATCATCACATGACGTTGGATGATTTATATTTCTTTATTAAAATAAAAAATAATACTAAGACATTGTCTCTTAGTTGTATTACGAAATTGAAGAATACTGAAATGAAGTAAAGTTATAAAAGTTATAGAACATACAATTTGATTTCACTGCAGTTTTGTACATTTCTATAACAAAAATGTTATAAGTTTTTACTATTTTATGTATACAATATATACTAGAAGTCAATAGAACTAAGTGCTTTTCAATAGAAGATTATATACAGAATAAATTGTTTATATAAGCCACTCGAATTCTCTTAAAATAATGATTATATTATCGTAACTCAAAAATTAATAAAAAGAAATAGAAAAGTGTTAGATTGTTGAGTTGGAGTGAATTAAAGTGAGTTCGAGTTACTTTTGATTTGGGGTGTGATTCGAGGGTTATGAAATAACATAACTTTAGACTCTTATTCATTTTTAAAATCTTACCTGATAATTTTCCTGGTTCTTATAACATCTTCAATAACAATTTCAATCAACAATTAAAAATAAAATAACTCAAATGAATTTAGTTCATAACTTTAACAAGTAAGAACTTTAACAATGGTGATCGCAATATCCGTGTAACGATATCTAGAGCACGAAATGAACAGGAAGAATAAGGGTTTACTCTGGCTTTTTATAATACTTTTTACCGCAGAAAGTCTTCATTGTCTAATTCTTACAGTATAACTATTTATTGATAAATAAGCATAAAAGACAGCAATGATTACAGATGAATGAAGTATATAAATCATTTTGGCATTTTATAATATAAAATATATATTATATATTAACATAGTTTTTTTACAAATAAGATTGGGATTAATACAATGCATTTAATTATTAAAATTAGAATAAAAAATATAATTTAAAGAATTCTTTTTGGAAGGAACGATTTTTAAAAGTGACTATTAATCAATTTATGATAGAATTGTGCGTATTATAATATAATTAAACAGTGTGTATGTTTGTTAAATGTTTGTTGTAATTATTTTTGTTTGAAAAAGATTATGTCCTTCTAAGAATATAATGTATAAATATCCCATGTTATGGTAGTGACGAGTATATTACGACAATATTAAGAGAATTCTTTTTGGTATTTATTAAATTTAATCCTTATAAGGTACATTATAAGGTATCAACTATATTTTTTTTAATTGCAACATTTATAATAAACTAGCTTATAAAACAAAAAATTATCTAATTTAGACAATAACTGGTCAATAACAATTTTTGAAGTAGTACTTCCGAAGTTATTAAAATTTTTATTAAATAAAGTCTAGAAAGTATGGGGCAATTCGTAATGATATGAGTAACATAACTCACACATCACTTCCATTTTATAAAAGTGTATATGAAAATAGTTCTAACTTCCAAAATAAAGGGCAAAAATTGTTATCAACCAATCATTTTCTTAATTAGTTGACTTTTATTTTATAAGCTAATGATATATACAGAGTGATTCATTAAGGATAAGTCACTCATTTTCTCGGTAACTATTGATAATTTCAAATTTTTGGTAAGAAAACTATTGTTTGATTCAAAAAAATCTACAATAATATGTAGTAAAAACATAATTTTTTTCATTCCTTCAAGGTTAAAAAACATTAACTTGATTTTTCTTAAATGGGAACCCCTATTTTGAATTTGTTATTATAATTTAAAATAAAAATATAAACAACTTTGCTCTTATAATATTTTTTTCCCATCAACTGTTCGTCTGTTACAGCTTGTTAAAGTTAAATGATTTTGGACTAAATTTCTATTATTTTTTTACTGTTTTGAATATTGGAGTCACTCATTTTCTATGGTGTAACATAAACTAATTTAACTTAATTCAGTTTATGAGGTTTCGCTACAACTTTTAATACGTATCCGTCAACAAAAATAAAGATTACTTTTTGTAAGCAATGATTACAAAAACATTATCGTAGTATTCAATTACTTTAAAAGTCACTATACAACGCATAGAGTTGGGTTTTCTAAAGAAATCGATTCTTCAGTATTACAGTTTGTCTAACAAACTTGTATAGCTTCATCAAAAAATTAATTTCTAATTAATTCTATCTAAAATTTTGACATGAGCCAAATTGAAAAAATAGAAAATTAAATAAAAAAAATTATTTGAGAAGACGAAAGTTCATAATGTACAACCTTTTCCTTTTCTTGTCGGTATTTTATTTTCACTTATACAACAGTTACATTTCTATGCTTAGATAATAGAAAGAAATTTAAACAATATCATAACGTTTGTTGTATATTTCCTTAGTTTCAAACATTGTTGAAAAATTATCCTTATTATTATTATTACTATTAAAAGATAACTGGAAGTTTTATGTTTTAAATAAAAACAACTATTTTGCATTTATGGTAGTCATCATTATTTTTAGAGTAATATTTTATTTTAAATATATACTTAATAATATAAATATCTAAAAAAATATTTTTTATTTTCATTAAGAATTTTGTTTTAATTAAGAGAAATTAAACTTTTAAAAGCAAATAAAACAAATTTAAATTGTACCCTAAAAGTATAGTTTGAGCTAGTTAAGTATATGTGGCCAGCATAGTTTCAGCCACCGAGCAGTAACTATCGCTCCGAAGATGGACTCTGCAATGAGTCCGAAACGTCAGTAATCAACTGCAAACATGGATAAATCCTCAAGCTTTTCAAATAATAAATGATTTTATTAAGTATATCGAGTAATTAAAAAATGAATTTTTACTAAACTTAAAATGAACTAGAGTAAGCAAAAAAAGTTCGAGCTAAAAAGTTATTCTTACAACTCAATAACTATGTTATTGTCTATTTTAAAGCTATAAGAATGTTTCGATTTAAATTACAAAATGATATAATGAAGGCATATTGATTCATTCAGTTGCTAATTTTCCTCTTTGCCATATTTCCTACATAGACTTAGTGAATGAGTCATAACTACTACTCTAAAATATCTTCATAAATTTGTCAAGAAATAAAAGAGAACACCTCATTATAGAAATATTTTTATCTTTACTTAAATATTCCATTAAGAACCATAATTTCTAAAGATTTTACCTAAATGTACTTCACTACAGGAAGTTAGACAAAATTTATTTGTGTACACATAACAAAAAAAAAGCCACAATGGAAGCATTTATCATTTGACTCACCTATAATAATTTTTATTTTTTTAAGCTTATCATTTTGATAAACAGCATAAGCTAAGATTTATTGGAGTTTTTTTTTCGAAAATGGTAAACATTTTTATAACGAGCCAAAATACGTTTAAATTTTATTTTAAAGTTTGGCCAAGTTTGATAAAATACTAGATAAAGAAAAAAGCGCCAAAAGAATAAAAAATTCGATAAATTTGTTTTATAAATTTTTAAAATTATTTTTATATTAATTAATAACGGTTTTATTTGAACGCTGGTCAACTATATAAAGATGAACTTATTAATAAAAACATATTTCTTGTATTGCAAAAATTGAATACATATAAAGTCAATCATTTTGTTGGTGTATTTTTTTTTGTTAGGAATTATTCCTTAATAAATATTTCATATTAAAAGTACACATATCTAACTTCTTATCGTACAAACAATTTTTTTTTTATAATTGATATTTATTATGCATCATACATATAAATAAAATGCTTTTGCGCGGTATAATAATAAAAGTATAAAGGATATTTATTTAAATTTTTTTTTATTTTATAAGATAGTATAATACGTATATTGCCATTTAAAAAAAGTTGACTTCCTTATATGGTATAAGAGATTAACTAAAAAAAAAATCCAGCACAGTGAAGACGTGGAATAGTTTGGTTCAATATAGATTTAATCTGATAGTGATTAAAATCACTATCATAAAAAACGATTCGATGCAAATTTGTAGATAGTATTTAATTTTAAAAAATTGGTGAATTATTCTATAGCAACATAAATATCCAATTTCTTTATTTAATTCTTATTATAAGTTTTATGTTTTATAAGTGTAATATATGAATAAATATTTATTATATCAATTAAATATAGTATGAAATTGATGTTTAATAATTTAGTATTACAATTTTTACGGAGAAATTATAAAGAATTATAAAGTAGTCATTACTTTTATGGCAAACGTACATAAAAGTTGAAGGTCTTGATGCAATACTTAAAAAAAATTGTTTGTTATTTATAAATAAATTTACTGGTCTACAAGGAATTTTCATTCAAGACCAAAATGTACATTTCTAAACCCATTTCCTAACTGCATTTTAATCTTAACAATACTATTTTTTTTATTATCGTAAAATATTTTATTTAATAATGTAAATTTCAAACTTGAAGTTGAGCTAAAAGATTTGGTAACAAATTCAACTTTTTAGCATCTATGCGAAGCTGAGAAGGTATTAATTTTACTGTAATATGTTTTTTTTTATTTTATTTATTTATTTTAGCTTCGATGCGAAGCTGAGAAGGTATTAATTTTACTATGATGTGTTTTTTTTTTTTTTTTTTTTTTTCGTGTGTCTGTTACTGTCAACAATTTGAAAAAATTACTGCTATAAATTATTCAAATAATGATTACTTTAGTATTAATAGTAACAGTTTTTTTGTTGTTCATAGATATGGCTTAAAAATTTTAGATTGTCTGATTAATGATCAATTGTCCATCACAACAATTATATTGTTAAATAAATTTTAGCTTGGCTGCAAAGCTAAGAAGGTATTGTTAAAACAAATGATGTTTTATTTTTTGTGTGTGTGTGTGTGTCTTTCATGAAAAATTCTTAATTCTCACTGATCGAATCATTTGGTTTACAAATCAAAAACACCTGTCTTATATCTAATTGAACCATCTACACTGAAAATTTGAAAAAAAATATTTAAGAAGTTTTAAGTCCAATGTAAGATATTAAATAAATAATAATATAGGCCAATTTAGAATAAAATATATGTACGTATGTTATTAAAAGCAAATTCAAAGAATGATTAAACAATTGAAATTAATAAATTTTATATGACGTTGTGAATTTCTTTGACTATTTGTACGCTAATTTAATGTTTTCTCAAAGTTTCACATAATAAATTATATTAAAATTTTCGTACATAATATTATAAATAATACTTTTTATTAACATCATTAAATGCGCACAATGGACCAACAGGCCTGAGTACAAGGGCATTATGTCCACTTCGATAACAACAACACCATTAAATAATCATTTTTATTTCATAATAAATTATTAAATGCCAACAATGCACTGGAAAACAAGTTGAGCTAATTTTTAACAATTAACTATACATAATCCGAAAAAATATTTGAAAAACATTTTTTCAATTCATATAATTTCATTCAAATAATTTAAAAAATGAATACATTCTCGTTTTTAATTCAATTTTATAAAATTCTTCAGTTTATCTAATTTGATTATTCGAGATACATAACTTTTCAACGTATATTAACATGATCTAAAAAAAATGATGATTTGTCAAGCCTTACTCGAATAAAATATTGAATTTTTTTTCATTTTTATTCAAAGCTATTTATTAATCAGAATTATACGTTCTAAATAAATTTCAATTAACATTTTTCTTAAAAAATAATATTGTTTTGAACTACGTAATTATTTAATACGTAATAATTTAACAGTAAATTTGAAAGAAATATAAATCAATATTCAGCTTTTTATTTAATTATAAATATGGTTTTTAGTAATTTGTTTTCTTAAGTACAGCCACGTATTTAGCACTTTAATTCTTTCCCTCGAGAAATTTAAAAACCATTGTTAAAAAAAAAATAAAACTAAAAACGTTCACCATCTCATTTATCTCATTTTAACTAATTATTTCTTATCTGCCCAAGAAAAAAAGTCACTAGGTATGTGTCTTCTTAAACAATATTTAATTTTGAATTGTATAGCAGATATGGAATATGAATATTTGATGTACTCATAGTGAATAAAAATTATAATAACTAGCGTTATTTTCTCTAGGTGGTCAAACAAAAGAAGAAGTCATAGAAACAAATGAAAGATTGAGAGCTGTTAGAATAAGATTAGAAGAATCTTACGATACGGCAAAAAAGTCGCTCATTACGTTAATGACAAAATATACTGAAAGCAAGTCAACTAGAAATGTTTTCCAAAGATACAATTTACTGAAAGCAATGATAAAGGTAGATGATTTTTTTATATATTCTTATTAAGAGAAACCTTATTTTATTTACCTTACGCCATTTTTTCTTTTACTAGTAATCAATTATATCTTATTTTAGTTGTCACATAAAATTTAAATAACTGTATCATTTTTATAATCTGATAAAATACAAGTTTATTATTTAACTAATATAAGTTAATAAATATTTTTAATATTTTAAAATAATGGTTTGAAAGTCTTTCTTTCAATAAATAAATTGTATAATGACATTCGACAGAAATATTGAATCTTAATTATACTCACTTTTGTAATTTATCGTAAAAATTATTCGTATTATGACAAAAGTCATTTTAAAAATTTTCATTGTAAATTTTAATCCTTTTTATGAAGCGATTCGAAGCAGAAAGATGCTATCAGTTAAATCACAAATACTATAGATTTAAAATGTTTTAAAACAAATGGAATTAGATTTTAATTTCACTTGGCATTTATCAACACACTTTTAGTGGGTATAACTCTATGTGTGCCTTGGCATTTAATAAGCTTCTAACGATCGTATGAAACATTCACGGCATAAAATAACCGGAAAAAGGTAAGAGCACAAGCAAACACGTTACCTTTATGTGCAGCTGAATTAGTAATAAAACTAGTAAAAAGCTTTAAACACAAACTACCTATTTTGTAATGTGTAAGCCATTTCTCCTATATAATATCATTCTTTCTATGACATTTACGATACACTTTGTAATGTTTAGGAAGTTATACGATTAGAGACTCAGTATTGGACTTTAGTGGAAATACCTAAACAAGAAAAACAAGAGACTGTACCATCTTTTGTGCTACGGGCATGTGGAATTGTTGAAAAATCACAAAAAACCAGTGATGGTGTTAAATCAGCAACAAAGGCTTCCGAAGAAGAAGAAAAAAAACGAGAACTACTTGAAAGGCTAGCTGGTAAATTTAATTTCAATTTAAATAACATACAGGTTGATTCACATAAAACTAGTCACTCAATTTCTCTTAAAATAATAATTATATTAAGAAAGCTGTTTTTAGGTTTCATGATTTTCTTGATTTATATATCAAGAAAAACATGAAAAGATAATAATGACTGATATATAAGTCATTAATTCTCTCTTTATGTCATCCCTTATACCTTATAAACATTTTAACTTTATTTGTTTAAATGAAAACATATATTTTTAATTTATATAATAATAAATAGTCTAATTAAGAAAATTACTGATGGATAACAACAATTGACCCATTATTTTGGATATTGTAACTATTTTAAGATATAGAGTGAAGGTGAGGTATGGGTTATGTTATTTTAATTATTACGTATTATTCTTCTGCGCTCTTCCACGACCTCTTCAAATCTATATTTGAAAATGTTAATAACTTTCGAAATACTAATTCAAAAGTTGTTATCAACCAATCATATTTTAAATATATTGTTATCTAAGAAGTTAGCTATATTGTATGTTGACTTTACTTTATGATTGATAAATTGAGAAAAGTATGTAAAAAAAGAAAATAATAAAACAACTGTTAATATTATTTTTATTTTTCAGTTTATCAAATAACGATTAAAAAAGGTGTTCAAAACTATATAATTTTAATGCAAAGAATTTGAATATTTTTTGTAAGAGATCTGATAAACATTTATCTCAATAATTTACCTTCACTATTATAAACTTAACAAATTTTATAATTATTTTTGTTCGTCACTATTTTAAAAGTTCATAAAATTTTAGTTTAATGTTTCATAAATCACGATGATTTTGATGAGTAAAATAATAATTTAAAATAGAGCTATTTAAAATATATTAAATAATATATAATATTGTTTATATTGTATAGATATCAAGGAGAAATTTTCGGTATATATTTTATAAAAAAATCGGAAATATTTTTACAAGAAAAATATTATGCTATATGTTATGTTGTGTTACTAGAGTTACATTGAGTTAGCACGTGTCTTTGTTTTTATACGTGACCTCTACACACATTTTTTACTAAAAAAAGAACGGTTGTTCCATATAAATATTTAATGAAACTTAGCGAGTATCTGTCAAACATCTAAAGTATCTGCGGCTTTAAGAAAAGTCCGAAGTGTACTTTGAAAATATTGTGTAATATAATCATTTATTTTGGAAGAGATATTATAAATATGGAAATATATTCAAGGAAACTGTGTGACGCTTATTCTATTTCATTTCGTATAATTTAAGTAAATTTGAATTTTTTTTAAGCCATTAAAAAGTTTTTATTCTGTTTACATAAAAATATAATGGCATATTTTAAAATCGACTCAACAAACATACACACTAAGACAGTTTTCATACTGTATTACATTGCTTTCAATCATTCTGGTATACATATATTCTTGTATTCTATTTAGATTCATAAAAGCAAAACGATCATAATTAATGACTGAACTATGGTTTGCTCGTGAGATATTGAGTAACGTTAAAGTTTCTTTGATACATGTGCGTGACTTCTTGTATTAGATGATTTGATGAACCTAAAGTTCGTGTAATTTTCAAAAACGTATTTTAAAGCTTTGTATCGTAGATTATTTAAACAATGGGTATTTATAAGTAATCCTCCAACCCCTACTAAAGCTTCACCAAAAGACCATTACTTAAAATAATTTTTGTGAAGTAATTAATTTTGAATTGATAAAAATGCTTAAAACCTATTCAGGTAAAAATAAAACGTGAAACACTAAATAAAACGTAATTTCCCAGCATAATTTGTAAAACATTATGTATATCTAAGTTAACATAAAATAATATTATAATGCTATGGTTAACGCGATAAAATGTTTGTTCTAAATTCTGTTTATTCTGAATATTTTCATTTTAACCACAAATTAAATTCCTTTGACAATATACACATTTCATAAACAAAATGGGGATAAATAAAATAGAGAAAACTGTATTGGTAAACATTGAATAGTAATTTTAAATCAAATAACCACAGTAAAATAATAAATAATTTTCATTAATGCATTAATTTGGAACTATTAAAACATCTTATTTGTATTGCACATCTTCATGTAGACCAAAATTGAGGGATTTAGGAAAACATTTTTCTAAAAATAAATGACATACCAATGGTTTGTCATAATTATTCAGCTGTTATATTTAATATAAACTTATTTCAAAACTGTTATCTAGTATTTAATTTTTAGCTTCGATGCGAAGCTGAGAAGGTATTGGTTTTACTATGATGTGTTTTTTTTTTTTTTNGAACCGATTTCTTTCAACGATACGTCAAAAGATCACAAATTGTATCTAGTCGAAGACATTACCCTCAAAAATGGAAAAAAATTTTCTCGTTCCCCGTAAATGGGGGAAATCTCAAAAAAATTACAAATTTAAAAATCGCTAAATTTTCAAAAATTTTTTTACTTAAAACTGCCATAACTTTTTAAAAAATGAACAAATCAATATAATTGTTTTATATATAGATGCATAATGTCTTTACCAACCATATGATGTATTTTTTTTTATAAATTTGACCCTTTACCTGTTCACAGGGAGAGAATAAAAAATGACAACTTTTTCACAAAAAATTAACTTTTTGAACTTAACTTTTGAAAATGTTCCGGAAGGTCTGACACTTTTATATATATCTTAAATTAAAGCTAATGTAATATACTTTATTATGGAAAAAAAAAATCGGACTTTATTTTATCTTCACGGTGAAAATGGCTACCAAATGCTATTTTTTGTGAAAACTCTCGATTTTGTATTTTACATTTTTAACTTTATTATGCTATAACTTTTTAAAAAATGTATGGATTAATACAATTTTTTCATGAGAAGTAGTTTTTATATACATCTTTCATTCGACATACTTTATCTTAATCAGGATATTAATAAGGAAATAGCAGATCATGTAGCTTTTGGAATAATCCACCAATTTTTTAAAATTAAACACTATCTAAAGATTTGCATCGAAGCGTTTTTTTTTTATAGTGATTTTAATCACTGTCAGATATTATTATACTTGATCCAACTATGCAACGTCACCACTGTGGCTGTGCTAGGTTTTTTTTTGCATTGATTATATTCATAAATTTTTGTAAATGATAAATTATAAAGTTATTCTTACTCTTTGATCACATCCAGTGCGTCAATATATTTTTTCCAAGTAGGAGTATTAAACAGTTTCCAAAAAGGGATTTTCGGTTCAAGTACTAGTACATTTTCTAAAAATGTATTAATAGCATTTATGAGATTTTGAGTGTCCGAGTTAATTTTGTAGTCATCATCAAGGCAACCTAGCTTTTGATCTAGTGCCACCCTTGCTATTGCTATATTACAATTACTTAATGATTACTTATTTCAATATATGCGTTTAAAACTTACATTCAAGAGACCAATTGTGTATCTCATCTAAAAAATCATCAGGTACCTCTTGCTTGTTATTCTTAATTTTTATGAATAATAATATCATCTTTAAGACAATAAAATGAAGATATGGTTATGTCAGCATTTATTTTAAATTTTTTATTATCACGCCCCAGAGGTGTCATGGAGCGTAACGCGGGTATAAGGCACAGGGTATACCCACTGTTAGTTTTCTTATTAGTGCATATACGTATTTATAAAATAGTTAAAGAGTATAGACTAAAGAATAAAATAAAAAGTAATACGTGGGTATCAAATACAGGTATGTTTGTCATAAAACACAAATTTTGAATAACTCTCATAAGTTTGTTTAATCCCTAGCCAAACCACATATATACATATATCTGAAGTTATAAACACACAAATATTTTAAAAATAGAATATAAATGTAAAACAAAACACTGTCAAAGTGTATAAATAAATATCAATAAAATAAATAGGATAATGTTTATCATTTCACGACAATTTTATTGACATTTGACAAAATTTAAAACATCGACCAGAAATTAACGATATAGCACATACTAAGTTGAAACTGAAAGTTATTGGGTTAACCTATAGCTGTTGAAATTGGTAATTTGTATTTTTCCGTAATAAACCGTTTACCAACCAATCTAGCATTTAATATATTACCTATAATTAATTAAGATAGTGCTAACATGTACCCATTCACGTTTATTTCATTTATGTTTTAACGATTTGAAAACAATGATTGTAAGATTATTTTATTACTGCATAAAGTTTATTGTTTATTTACAAAAAATATAACAGTATCTAATAATACACTTATCGATTATATGACTATGAAATTTAATTTATGTAAGAACTTAGAAGTGTCAGTAAAAATATTAGAGTAATAGTTTGGAAATTGGAAGGAGCAAGGCCATATCTGGGAGGGTTAGGAGTTTTAGTTGCATTATGTAATAATTAAAAAATACATATTTTTAACACAGTTAAAACATCACAATATTTGTATTCCGTGCCCCAAAACTATGTTATAGTTAAGGCCTTTGAAAAGTAGTGTAGGGGTGAAATTCCCCACGTTTCCTCATTTAGGTTTTTAACTTATCTATTGATCAAATTACGACTACATCACTGTTGATAATGTATAAAGTTAAAAGTTCAACAAAATAATTGTGAAATATTGTATGTAGAAAATATAAAGTGCAATGGGGGGTGTGGGGGGCGGAGCCCCCCACGTTATTATCAATTCATAATATAGGCGTATACCCATAAACATTTTTAGGACTACACCACTGCCTCAGTATCATATGATGTATAGATCATAATATAATACCATCTTTATAATGGTGGTTGCTAAACTATGGCGAATATTTTCAAAAATATTATGNACATTTTTTGAGGGTGGTACTAGAGTCCTCCTCGAAAATATTACAGTCCTAAAAAATACAAGTATTAAACTATAACTGGCTATTTATTAGGTAAAATAGTCTTGATTGACTAGTGATAATAATACATTGTCTAAAAATACAAGCTTCTTATAAAACCTACCACTTATTATTGGTTTATTAAAATAACCTATTATTGTTGAACAAAGCGACAAACAATAATTTTAAAACGCAATTTACGTTTTTTTTTTTATTTTTTACTTGATCTCTCATAATTAGAATTTTGATCGTATTTAACTAGTTTCAACAACTTTTGAGTTTGCACTAAAATCTTATATTTTTATCTAAAATTACAAAAAATCCTTTATAAATTTATAATCTTCGCCATTTTAAGTTAACTAATAGTTTAACAGAAGGTAGTTTTCATTATTTCAAATTGCCACATGGATTACAAAATTAAATACTTTTTTTTTATGTTTATCAATTATGTTTAGAAATTGTGTTTTTGTATAACAATAAAAATAATATTTTATATCAAAATGTTCTTTTAGATCGAACAAATAATTATCAAATATGATAATACGATTTCTAAACTAAACATTTTCCCTTCATAAGTGTGTTATCATTTTTTAATCATGAGTATCAAAATAAAGCAATTTTTGGGGAGAGGAGTTTCCTGAGTTAATCCCCATAAAGGCTTTGGAGGAGTTTGAACCTTTGTACTTTTGGACCAAAGGTTACCGATTCAAATTTTCCCCTAAAATTTGATAAGGGATGAGTAGAAAAATGGCACAACTTCTAAATACGACCCTAAGCTTATGCAATGTTTATTTTTTATTACAAAAGTCATGTCTAAAACTGATACTAACACACGGCGTCATAATTGTAAGTTTCTGCCCACGCTGTTGTATGATAAAGTCGTTAATTCACGTGTTGCCGAGAAGATATTTTCAATTCGTTCATTATCTCTTCTTTTAATAAAAAACATAAAAATGAGAGGTATACACAAGGGCGTAATGAGGGCACAATAATTCTGGTGGACCATCTCGCTCCAAACAAAATGTGTGTAGCTCTCTTAGGAAGGAATGATAAACAAAAAGTCAAAAAATAATTTTACAAACCACAAATTTTTTTTTTTTTTTTAAATGGTAAATAATAATACAAATAATAAAAAAAGCCAATTTTTTATATCTGTTTATTAATAAAATATCATTCATTATAAAATTTACTACACAATTAATTTTATTTAAAAAAAATACAATAATAATGCCAAGTTAAACAATAATTGGTAGGTTAATTTGTATTAAAACAATACATATGAAGTAGTCTAATTTAAAAAGATCAATAAGATCTTATAACATGCAGGTTTGATTGTATGAAAACCAAATGAGCGCTCAACACTCATTTACAAATTAAAATAATTATGATTAGTAGTGTATTCTACAGTCATAATGACTGCAGTTACTAAGGTTTGAAAACTCTACGGAATACCGTAAAGTTTTAAAACCAAAGAAACTACAATTCTTACAATAATAGGAAATAATAGAGTAAAAATACAAAAGGGTAAAATATTTAACAAAACAAAACAAATAAATTGGCGATGAAAATTGTTCACATGAAATAACGATAAGAATTTTATTTTTCTAAAATATATCACAAAGGTAATTTAAATTCATGCATATTTTTATATTTTTTGTGAAACCAATTATTTTAATTCACCCCAATTGGAACCTTTCTTAATTTTAACGGGTAAAGGTACACATAAATTAACAGCAGACGCCATAGTGCTGGTAATCAATGAACATGCTTCATCAAGAACTGAATTATGAACCTTAAAACATATGATAAAAATTAAAAAGTTATGTTTATAATTGGAAACCAATAAAACAAATTATATAATTAAATAAATGTTTGGGGGCCTAATTTGATGTAGTGGTACACTAGTTAGTAATAAGCTTCTTTGTTATTAAGCCACTATTGCAATATAGTTAGGTTCTTAGAGAGGTAACTAGTTGAGATTTTTACAGTATAAAACATATACTCCACTGCAAATTTTTAATGCAAATTGGCCAATGACAAGTTAACTTTCTAATTGTAAAAAAAAACATATATTTCATAAACCACTCAATTACTTTACAATACATGAAGGATTACAAATACAGAAAGCTAATTATTTTTTTATAACACCTTCCTCCTTTCTTTTCGATTATGCACTTTTTCTTCCCAGTTTAATACCTAGTTTCTTAAAGTTCTACTTTATTTCATTTATCATGGCTTTTTTGAACACCCTCTAGATCTCATCTCTGTGGGTTTTCACTCGACCGCCGTTTTAAGATGCTCCGAGTCTGACCTTCTCATCAAACCATTTGATTATCTGTCCTTTCATCTAATTGGTTATCCTAGAAACTCTTGTCAATTTTCGGATCTCTTAGTTCCTTCTTCTGCACCAGCATCCCTGTTTGTTGTCGTATACCGGGCCACAGATGATTCTTAGTATTTTGTTTTCCAACAAAATAAGTTTTTTTATTGACATTTTAAAATTTTTTTTTACTTAAAACTGCCATCACTTTTTTAAAAATGTATGAATCAATACAATTTTTTTTTTATAGAGATATTAAGTATTTTGACACCTATATCTTTAACATCTTTCAAAGATTAAATTGTTTGTATTTTTTATTTTTACAGAGGAATTCTGTATTTTTATGTATACTCTTGTTCTGTGTCATGCAATAGTTCTTTCATGAAAGTTTCTTTTTTCTCTTTGCATGATCCATTTACATCTGCTTCATAATTTTCTTTGCTTAACACTTAAGGGGGTCTTAAGCTAGAGGTACTTTTGGCCAGCTTCACTTCCTTTTTCTAAAATCACTATTAAAGCATTTATTCTCTCGTTTTTTTTTGGTTCACATAGTGTGCTTTATGCCACTTTGAGTATTACCTCTTTTATAATATTCTAGTTTACTTTACTCTCATTTAGTTTACCAGTAATCTCAGTGATATTTTTTTTTTTTTGTTCTTTCAAATTCATTAGAATATTGGTTTAAATTCAAGAACACAAGATTCATAATCCTTATGGAATACAAAACCCATCTCAAAACGATATCTATTATCCATTCTTTTATAGTAAATAATATAGTCGTTTATCTTTATTTTCCCTTCACCTGCCCATGTAATTTCTTGTAAATCTGCAATCAACACTACATATTGACTCAATATTTTTGTAGTAATCTGACATATACCTGCATAATATAAGCTTAAGGTGTTCCAAGTCAAGATTTTAATCTCCTTGCTCTTCTGTTTCCTGTTTTTATAGTCCAAGGCTTTTAAGATAGTTTCTTAACAAAAATAATTTTTTTTTATGATGTAGGGTTGTTAGCCTTATGATCAACTCTCCATAAGTTGGGGAGGAAGTGCTTGGGGGCTGAACCGTAACACAATAACTGTGTATCCTCTGGGGAAAATACCATTTACAATTAAAATAAAACCTCAAACATTTTATTAAACTCAAAATATGTATTTCCATTAAAAAACAAAATTAACACCCTTATAAGGTATAAGGGATGACCATAAATAGTATTACATAACTAATAATTCAAGAATAATATGCAATAAAAGGTAACCAAAATAATTACTTGAAAATTATTTTTTTGTTAGTAATTGAGTGGTTTATGATAAAAAAATCATACTGAATATATAAAGAAAATGTGTACTACCTCAAATATGAGTTCATCGTGCAAATGCATCAATAAATGTATTTGAGGTTTTGCATATAGTTGATTAATAGTTTTGTCTACTTTAATCATAGCTATTTTTGTTACATCAGCGGCACTTCCTTGTATAATTGTGTTTATTGCTTGTCGCTCTGCTTGAGCTAAAAATTTTAAAACGATTAAAAAATATTTATATTTATAAACTTGATAAAATAACATGCTATATACTCAAAATAAAGTTATATTTATCTAAAAAATAATAACTACTATATTAAAAAGTATAATTAAAGACTTATATTCAAAAAGTTTTTAAATTTATTGTATCAAAATATAGTTATGAATAACAAGATGAATCATTAAATCTGCAGAAAAATTTTTGTTTATACATTATCAATTAAGGACACAAATTTATTTTTTTAAAACTATAGATTATAAAATTGTGTATAAAAATTTTCGTTATCAAATTAATAAGACCGGTCTGATTACTTCCAAATAAAATAAACAAAAAAAACCCAGCACAGTGGAGTCGCGGCATAGTGGGGACGTTGCATAGTTGGGTCCAGTATAGATTTAATCTGACAGTGATTAAAATCACTATCATAAGAAACGCTTCGATGCAAATCAGTAGATAGTGTTTAATTCTAAGAAATTGGTGGATAATTACAAAAGCTGCATGATCTGCTAGTTCCTTATTAATACCCTGATTAAGATAAAGTATGTCGAATGAAAAAGGGATTATTAAAAAATATTATTTCTCATAAAAAAATTGTGTTGATTCATACACTTTTCAATGAGTTGTAGCATTATAAAGTTAAAAATGTAACCAACCCAACCCAACATCAACTCCTATTTCC